AAAAAAAAAAAAAAAAAAAGTGTTGTTTCAATGTCAACATCCTAGAAAAAAAAATAGAATAAAAGCAAAATGCAAAAGAGTTGAGAACATGGTGATAATTGAGTATAAAATACTATTCTAAAGACCTTTGTGACTGGAACAAAGATTCGTAGCAAGAGGGAGAAGCAGTTATTTGAGAAAAAAACAACAAACACAGAGAGCCAAAAGACCTTTTTCTTGTAAAGAATTCAGTCAATCTCCCCTATTCCTAAAGAGATTAAATTAGGATTTTAGGTAATGTGGACTTTGAGGTACTCTAGGTTATTTATTTCCAATTATGTTCTACAAACACAGGATTCAACTTTCATTTTCTAAAATATATTTAACTATCTTAACTGTGATTTAAAAAATAATAGTAGTTTCCTATATATCAGATACTGTGCTAACCACTGCATCTGCATTATCTCATTTAACTCCAGCAAATTTATGAGGCAAGTATATTATTGTGCCCATATTATATGAGAGAAAACAAACTTAGACAAGTAAAACAACTAACCTAAGATTTAAAAAATACTAAGTGGCAGAGCCCAACCTCTTAACTAATCTGTTCTACTGTCTTTCAACAATGTATACAAGCAACTGTTTTATATATCAAACTATATCCTATTGGAGACCCCAAATCATTAACTTAAAGTGCTTGGTTCATTTTTTTAAAAAACAGCAGTCAGGAATAATGCTTCTCTTGTCATTCCTTTGCATATGTTTCATGTTCTCGTAAATGTGTCATGGGTTGTGAAGGTTGTAGCTCTGCAGGGTCTTTCAATAAATTCATGCCTGCACATGTTGATTCAAGGAAAACTGTACAAGCAAGTACACAGACTTCTTCAACCCGTGGGTTGGGCTCAGTTAGACAGCAGGCAAGGCTCAGGCCCATCTGTTTGGCGAAAGCAGAAGTTAGTTGCGCAACAGAGACAGCATGCTTAACGTGTCTCATCGTGACAACCTTACATTTTAGATGGCTCTAGTGCTTACTCTAAGATTTGGTTGCTTCTTATCTGATTTTCATTTTTAAGATAAGGAATTTGAATAGTAATTAAACTTTGAAACCAAAATTTCCTTCCAGGTTTCTGGACTAACTTGATTGGAATATACCCTGAGACCGTAAGGCAAACTTAATAAACATCTGTCACTTGCAACTATTAATCTGTGTGAATCAAGATTTTCTCAATACTTTGCAACCAAAATACTTTACACAGAAATAGCGAACTGATGCTAGGCTACAACTACCTTCTGTGCAATTTTGGTACACATAAAAACAGCCTCATTTTCCTAATTGACTGCTCTTATATAGTGGAATTTCTTTCTACTAAAAAAATTTAAAGCAACTGTTCTAAACCAGTTAGTTCTATTACTTGAAACAAATGTGTCTTCATGGTCACAGGACTGTACTAGGTGAGAGTGTGGATACTCAGCACAAACTCTAAGGAAGGACAAGCAATTCAAGGGCAGGCCCCTATAAGAGTGGGTGAAGAGAGATTTTGTAAACAAAGAAGACAGCAAAAGCTTTTCCACATTTGGTAGCCCGTGTGTATTTCACGGCAATATACTATAATGAATTAATCACTTAAACCTTAGTCCTGCATCTCTGCCACTATGATCCAAGATAAGTTGTTTTTGACCAGAGATTAAAATGAAGCCCTAGGCTTACTCTTAGGAATGAGTAAAGCAAACAATACAGTACTTTGCAAACAAACATTAAATAACATATGTGGGTGAAATGCAAAGTTATTTTCCCCCAAGCTGAAAAGTATCTTCTCCAGGAGTTCAAGGAAGAAATGTGATTTCATATCTCAAGAAATTTGCTAGCTTTTTTGGCTAGTTAGCTTAATGACAAACTTTGCTATAGCCATTATCTTGGAAAATAAGTTTCTAAAGTATCAAAATACTTTTCTCAACGTAGTATAAGTGATCAATATTTAGGGCTTTATTCCTATATGGCATTCTGAAATACAACAGTCATAATTAGATTTCCAGTGTATTAATGTCTTCAAATTGACAGTTGCATAATCATAGAATTGTACATTAATTTTTTGCATTCTGTTCGCTTTAACCTATTATAACATTCTTTTGAGTGTTTATTATCTGATAGGCAGTTTATATATTCTTAATAATCACAGTGATGCAAATATTATCCCCACCTTACAGATGGGAAATCCGAGACTCAGTAAAGTTAAATAATCTGGCCAAGGACACAAAGCTATTGTCTGGCAAATCTAGAATTTGATTTCCAATCTTGACTATATTGTCTCTTAATAAAATATAAGATATATGTAGAGTGCCTGGCACATAGTAAGACTTCAACAAAAGTTAATTTTATTGTCCCCTGAAATGAGCAGTTAAATATCCTTAACAGAAGTAAAACAAAAAGACTCTAAATAGGAACTCTAAAGAATACTTTTCAGTTACAAATCATTCATGCAAATAAATCTCATTTGCAGGAGACAAAGTCAAACTCTTGCAATTAGCCAACTGAAATATAAGGACTTTAAAATTTACTAAGTCCTTATTCATTTTTACTAGCTTTTAAAAAGTATTTCATTTTAATTAATGAATTATCAACCAAAAGAGATACAGTTTCTCCTTTAATATATATTCTAAGAATCACAGCATTTTAGAGCTGAAAAGGATCTAACAGTCCCTCTAGCTCACTTTTGTCTCTTTACACTCAGTGCTAAGTTGGCCTCCACTGCCTACCTCTATACTGCCATTTGACATGTGAATAACCTGTACAAGGTTACAAAGCTGGTGAAGGCAAAGAAGGGGCTAAAATAACTCAAATCTCCTGAGTTCCAGTTCAGTGATCTTTCCATTATGCCATTTAACCACTCGATACAAGTGTTCTCTAGGCAAGACCAGTGATACTGTTTTAAGAAAAACAGAAAATCTCTAGTAGTCAAACAGATTGATCGCAACAGTGACTCCTAGAAGGCTAATCCTATCAGCTAACCTTTACTGAGAGCTGATGGTGTGCTATACTATTTAAGGCACTATTTCATTTTATCCTCAAGACAACCTGTGGATAAGTTTTCTTATTATTCATTTCCATTTCACCCAGATTCAAAGACTTCAAGTAAGTTACCCAAGGTCACAGAACTAGTAAGCAATGGAGTAGGAATTTGAATCAAGGTCTGCCTTGAGGCCCAGCTCCTAGCAACTATGACATATGCTGCTGTTACACACGTCTCTTCCTTTTTCTCCACGTTACTTTTTCTTTGTCCTTTGGGGCCTAAGATCACTATATACCTAAGGTATGGGCACCTAATCTCAAATAGGGAGGTTTCTGGAAGGCTAACTGAAAGGGGGAAAATAGCAACCCCACACCAGCTCCACAGATTTAAGAACTACCTGGACTAATTTTTTCCTCCAAAGTCTAGGCCTTGCTATCCTCATACAAAAACCTCTTCTTTTTCAGTAACATTAGTCACCTGTTTTGTAACTCAATAACCTAAATCAGATTTTCAGAGGCAAACAAAAGCACTGATACCAATAGTCACTTGGGACTTGAGACCACTGGGCAGAGACGAATTCAAGAGCTAAGCAAAGTTTCCACCAAAATTGCAATGAGGTTAACAGGGCACAGTAACACAATCTAGTACCTGATACTTAGGAAACATGGAGAGAAAAACAGGGAGAGGAGGAGAAAAGCTGCGCCGCTGGCCTGAGGTTAAAACAGCAGAGTGAGGAAGGGATTTCCTTAGTCGTTTAAAGACAATGTCCACCAACACTAAATCCAAAGTGAGGCACCCTTGTGAAACACCAGAAAAAGGTGATGCAAAGGGCCCAAACAGTCCTGGATTTGCCAGCCTCTGTGCCCCGTTTGTCTTGCCCTTTTCCACCAGAGAGACAAATTCTGAAGGATTTTTTTCCGCCCAACCTCCACGCCTGGTGAATCTCGGGGAGTACCCTACCCCACTTGGTAGGGACAGAAAGGACACTCGTTTTGCTTCGGAGCAAGGCGATGGGGGAGGAAGGCAATGAGGAAAATAAGAGAAACTGGTCATGGCAGAGGTTTGGAGGGGGTGCGATTTAGTAGCTGCACTCACCCGGGTGAGACATGGGGATGACCTCATTGCGGGTCCCCGGGAAGTTGAAGATGACGGCTCCAGACGCCCCTCTCTCGTAAGCCAGACGGATCTTGTCTGCGAAGGTGCAGCCCCCGCCGCGTTGGATAAGGGCCAACCAAGAGACTTGCACTGTGCTTCCCCAAACCGTGGGCACAGTGAAATTTGTGTGCGGATTACAGGCGTTGAGCGCCCCAGGCCCGTCGGGCGGTACTAGGACCCCAGCCACAGGCTCCAGCGGCGAGTCCTGGCCGTACACGCCCTCCTCGCTCAGTTCCCACACGGTGCGATTCACTCCGGTGTGCGGAACCCGCCAGGACACGTTGAGGTAAGCGGTCCACACTGCTTCGGCCCCCCGGGAGCCGGGTGCGTGCGGACTCAGGGCCAGCAGGAAGCACCACGCCAGCAATCGGGATGAGCTGCAGCCACCGCGACAGGAGACCCCAGTCCCGGGCGGCGGCCCCATGGCGCGCGAGCGCTCCGAGGTCCCCTAGGGCCCCTGGCACGAGCCCACCTGGCGCTCAGCAGGACCCCGGCCTAGACCAGGTACGCGCCAGGTCGTGGGTGAGTGGAGAGACGCTGGGGCGCTGCGAGCTCGGTCGGAGCCGCAAGGCACGTAGCTCAGGGAAGAGGTTGCCGCAGACGCAGCTCCTCCAAGCTCCTGTCCTCTTCGCTACTGCTGCGGCCGCGTCGGGCTCTGGGGCTTCAGCACCAAGCTCCGCCCAGTCAACTGGGGGTAGAGGTGGCGAGGAGGGAGGAAAGGACACTGCGGGATCCGCCTCTTAAAAGGGTAACAGGATGGGAAGGCATTAGAGTTGGATCTCAGGCTGTGTGGCAAGGTGTGTCGCGTCGTTTTATACAAAATGAGCAGGCAAGGAACTATAGAATCCGCGAATAAGAAAGCTTTCTGGTAGGATTCGAGTCTGTTTTGAATGGAAAGAATACATCTTTCCCTCCTAACATTTGCCCAAAGGTCGTTTCGGGCTTACGGTGCCAGAATGCGAAAGTACAGTACTTCTAAAAAGCGCAGATCCAAAGGGTCTGAGTTGTAGTTAAGAGAATTTGGATAGAATCACGTTGTTTGCTAATTCTTTAGGGGCAGGGCGAAGGCAAGGACAAGTGCGTTGTTACTCCTTTTTTTACTGGTTCCAAACGACACCTTTCTCCTTTCCGGTTCTTAACACCATTCGTATGTGTGTATTTCTTTCTTGCCCTTATCCCAAGCTTAATGTACAGCATCGGATGCTTCTTCCAAATGTAATCTTAGTTCTCACGAAGGAATGATGGTTTCCACACACCCCCAAACCAAGCTTTTTTCTTCACCTTCCATAAACCAGGTTTACCCAAACAGATATTCCTGTGCCATTCATGACCTTAACTACACAATCTTTCAACATTTTCCACTAACTAAAATGAACCTGACCCACCTAGGCAATTCACTCATGGTACTATTGCATTATAATTTATCCATAAGTATACATTTTTTGTCTACCCTGTCAAATATTACATTTACTAGGAGCTCAATAAATGTGCATTGAACTAATATCCAGTGTCTGACAATTAAGAATAACTTTTGACTATGGGGAAGTTAATTATCTGTGCCTGTTTCTTCATCTCTAAAAGGGGAATAATAATAGTACCGACCTCACAGAGTTGTTCAGATAATTAGCTGAGTTCTTACATGTAAAGCACTTTAGCAAGGCTTAGCAAAGTCTAAAAATTATACATTAAGTATAATTATTATTAAACTGGTTTGGGGACACAGTAATTCTAAAATAATCTTAAAATTGTTCATTTTAGGTAATAATAAGATAAAATGATGTTCAGGATGTTCAATCTTAGCCACTTTTTCAGTTCAAAGAAATATAATCTACTTTATCCAGCCCAACATTTGGTAAATTTCTGATCAGTCATTCCTCTCAATCCCAGGTTTAACATTTACTTAATCAATGTTTTTTTCCAAAGATTAAGCATGGGACATTTCTGTACTTGATACTGTTATAGCTTGAGAGAAACCTAGAGGAAAATTAATATCATATATCAAACAGCACCTAGAATATAAATAAATGGGTGAGTTTGTGAAACATGAATCCTAGGTATTGAAAGGATTTTAGAGGTTAAGGGGATATATGGGACCAATAGCATGATACCCCCAAATACTGATGATAATCTCTGAGATAAAAATTATTTAGAGAAAAATAAATAGATAGGACTAACCATTTTTAAGAAACGGTCCAATTCCAGAAATTGTCTGAATCTGTTGGTAACATTCAAAATCCAATCAATCACTATTACTTGAGCAACAGTCATCTATATTGCACTTTGAAGAAACAGTGTGCTCAAAAGAAAGGAAATACTTTATAAGATATGCATAAAACTTAAATTCAGAGATATTCATTTATGTTTATTCATTCATTGTTTTCTTTTTAAATTTTAACTGTATTTTATTATAGAGGTGTGGGGTACAAGTAAGGATTAATTACAGAAGTAGGCTGGGTGCAGGTGAAATTTTGGCCTCTAACTGGCCCTCACTTCTCCTGGTCTGGGACCTTTGTGTGGTCATATGCCCTCCCTCCCTCCCCTAGCAGTGCCCAGTGACTGCTGATCCCTCCCTTGTGCTAATGTGATTAATATTCAGGTCCCACTTATGAGTGAGAACATTCAGTATTCGGTTCTTTGTTTCTGTGACAGATCATCGAGTATGATGGTCTCCAACTCCATCCAATTTGCTGTGAATTCCATAATTTTGTTCATCTTCGTGGCTGCATAATATTCCAGTGTGTATATGTACCACATTTTCTTTATCCAGTTCACTTTCGATGGGCAGTAGGGTTGGTTCCATGTTTTTGCTATTGTGAATAGTGTGGCTATAAACATGCAAGTATCTTTTTTGTATAATTATTTATGTTCCTCCAGGTATATTCCTAGGCAAGGGATTACTGGTTTGTATGAAAGATTCAATTTTTAGTTATTTTAGCAATAACTACACAGCTTTCCATAAAGGTTGAACTAGCTTGCACTCCCACCAACAGTGTAGAAGCACTCCCTTTTCTTTGCACTCATGCCAGCATCTGTTGTTTTGTGATTTGTTAATGATGGCCATCCTTACTAGAGTTAGGTGGTATCTCATTGTAGTTTTGATTTGCATTTCTCTGATAGTGAGGCTGAATATGTTTTCATGTATCTGTTGGCTGCTTATACATCTTCCTAAAGTGTCTATTCATGTCCTTTGCCTACTTTTTAGTAGGGTTGTTTGTTTGTTTGTTGGTTTTCCTTTCAGCTCATTTGAGTTCCTAGTAGATCCTGGATTTTAGGCCTTTGTCAGATATATGATTAGCAAATATATTTTTTCCCATTTTTTATTGCACATCTACTAAATGTCACAGGCTAAGCATTGGGGTACAAAATCCAATAAGACATCACCTCTGCTCTTAAAAAGCTCTTAAATTAGCTCTGGTGAGAAAGACAAGTAAAATAATAATTGCAGTATAGAGTGATATGTGTATGTAGCATAAGCACTATGATAGAGGTATGCACAGGGTAGAAGAGAGCAGTAGAGAAGAAGCACCTAACCAAGACTGGGAAGCAAGGGAAAGCTTCCCAGAGGAGGTTACAGCTGTGCTGAGTTTGAGAGGGGGTAGTCTTTCTAGGCAGAGAACAACTCAAGTAAAGATATTGAGACATGACACAAAAAATGTTGGGAAACTACACTTATTCCAGGTCCTATAAATGCAAAATGGTTGGAACCTAGAGTACAGGAGAGAAGGTGGTAAGAGATAACGTTGGAGAGGTACAAAGGGGCCAGTTTCTGAGAGTCCTTTTGGGTAAAGTTTGGGGGTTTGGACTATATCCAGAAACAAGGAGTAATATAATCAGGGTTTAAGCAGGTAGTAACATAATCAGATCTGAAGTTTTGAGATCATTATGGCTTCTCTGTGGATAATATATCGGAGGGTACAAGAGTAGCAGCAGGGAGCCCAGACAGAAGATTGCTGACTGTGTTCCATGTGAGATATGAAGGTGACCTGGAGTGAATGGGTAGTGGAGATAAAGAGAAGTGGGCAGAATGGTAATGCATTTTAAAAGTAGAATCAACAGGACTTCTTTTTGGAGGATGAAAGAAAGGGAGAAGTTAAGAATTGCTTTGAGGTTTTTGCTTCAGAAGACTGGATGACATTCAATCAGGGAGTAAAAGAGGATTTTAAATGTGTTGAGTGGGTAGGAGGAGAGACGAGTTCACTTTAGACATGTTGATTCTAAGGTGCCTACAATGTGACCTGGTAGAACTGTGCAGTAGGCAGTTGGATTTTCTGATTACTGAACACAGCGCAAAGCACTGGAGAGGCAGGGATGTATAAAGACAAAAGAAATAGTCCCTGTTCTCAATGAGCTCACAGCCTAGTGGGACAGTCAGAGAGGTAAACCAACAATAACAGTATAGTGCAATAAATGTTATGACTGGGAAAGACATAGGGTGCTAGGGCAATATGGATGTGGCTGAGTCTTTAAGACTGAGTAGAATTACTCAAGCAAAGAGAGTAAAGATATTCAGACATAGGCAAGAGTATATTATATGAGAACACCAAAGAACTAGCATTTAGTAGTTGGGTATGACTGGAATGTAAATTTGCAAAGGGGGAGCTAAGGGAAGTGGAGCTAGTCAAGCAGGTTATACCAGGACATGAAGAATTTAGAAAATTATGTTAAAGAGTGTGGAGTCAATATGCATGCACACACATTTGCATGTGCATACACATACATTAAGCAAATATGGCAAATTGATAACAAGTGCTGAATCTAGATGGTGAGTATATGGGTGCTCATTGTACTATGTTTTCACTTTCCTTTGTACAACACTTTAACCTTTTTGTAATAATGGGTTTAAAATTGTGAATTTATATTGAAGTCAGTGGAGCAAATGAATATGATCAGATTTGGGCCTGAATACATCATCTGGATTGTATGACAAGACTGGTGGCAGAGATACTAGTGAGGAGACTAATGTCTCCACAACGATTCTGGAGGCCTAGCCCAATTGTAGATAGAGATATCATAATTTCATGGCTTGATAATGTGAGCCATTAAAATCATTCTATGAACTCCCCTTGCTCTGAGTCCATTCTCACCAAGCAACCTACTTATTGTCCTTTAGCTCTTCATGTAAATGTGCCTACAGGGAGATAATGCACTGATCAGCAAACACTAGTATCTGGTCCACTTGGAAGTTATACTTCTCATTATAAATTAATCAATGGGCTTTCTGGCTTATATACTGATCTCTTGTGAATTTGATTAAGTGTGTGTTCATTCCCAGGAGCCCAGTCTCCGGTTATATTACCAATCAAATTTCAAAGCATACGAAGTTAAGAACCAGCTTGTAGATCATGACTGCATCAAAGTCCTTCCACTCTATGGAGACTTGCCTGGGTAACTCACTGGCTTTCCTTAACCATGTCCCTCTGTCTCACTGTGAGTTATTTTCAAACTACAATAGAGCCTTGCTACCTAGAGTGAGGCTTGTTGATCAGGAGCATCGGCATCATCAGGAAACTGGTTAGAAATGCAGAATCACAGGTCCCACCCAGCCCAACTAAATCAAAACCTGCACTTAAACCAGATCCCCTGATAATTTGTATGTACATGTGAGTTTGAGGACTAAAGGATTCCTGAGAGGTAGCCAGCGCCCAGAATCTGCTTTAACACTTCCAGTGTCAGAG